CGTTACCGGGCCGGGTGTTCGCTGTCACCCAGAGACGGCTGTGGGACCCTGACCGGTGACGGGCGCGTGACCCGCCTCGGATAGTAGGTCGGACGAGTGGGCTGTGGTCGTGGGTTCCCTGGTGGCGATGTGTGCTTTTCGTTATTGTTAGGAGAGGCGCTCAGACTGAGGCGCTCCGCTTTTGCATCAATGCACGCACCCGCGGACTCCACAACCGACGTACCCGGGAAAACGTCGAAAGATAGGGTCGTAGTTTCGCACGTGATCTACACGCAGTTGGTGATTTTACAGCAGCTCTTACGCTCACCTGTGAGATCATGTTAAACTGGATCAAATTTAAAACTGCTGATGTGGCCATGGATCAAACTGTGCTTTCGCCGTCCTCGTGGCTCCGCTCGCATAGGTGGAGTGAAGCCAATACAAGTCAAACCCGTCAAAATCGAGCCGTTTCTACACCCTCGTTTTATCTCTAAGGGGTACAACAAGACCACGTGAGGCAATTTCATAACCCCACATGGTTGATTTCGGATAGGCTTGCACTTACCATTGATGATACCGAGACGGCAATGTTCTGCACTTACGATCGACGCCGGTGATATTAGTGTACTGCCAACACATTTTTTTAGCTGTTATGAAGGCCTCGTCTCACGTGATTACCATCTTGAACAGCTTTCACATCACCATTGGTACGCCTCACTGCTTAGATTTGTGAGGTAGTGTGTCATAGAATATTTGACGTTATCTTCAAAATTTTACCCAGTGCTCTAAACCATGAATAATCGTAGGGAAGGTCATAGACATTGGGGTCGTCCATGACCCCGCCCCCCCCCCCTTCTCTTCATTCAGGATTACTGGAAGCAAAGATCCGGGACACATAGAGCAAAAATGCGTCGCAGAAGGGCAATTCATCGCATTTCCACCGCACAGAGTATTAAGAACGAGGTCATAAATCGGTGCACTGATATCGTAGGGACGACAAATTTCCAGGTCAAGGTGTAAAACATTGTACATTTTGCTAGCCAAGATGTCACTACAACTCGCTGCGTGGTTGCTAAATGACTCGGAAATCAGATATTTTGGGGGGACTTATTCCGTTCTGGCGATGGTAAACATTTTAAACTTCTCGCGCTCGGGCTGGAACGGGTCAACTGGCAACCCCCGAAGGCTCTCTCCAGAATAATAACCGAAGGGTGTGGTGCATGTGCAACAAGCTTTGGACGGATATAGGCAATTCAAAATATTTTAATGAGAAATTAGATGTACCTTGAAAGGTTGCGAACCAACAGGAGGTCAAAATGAATCGATGGCTATGAGAGAAGATGGTTCCTAGAGAAGCACTTAACCTCTTTCGGCAACGGAGTGTTTGACCTATTTATACAAATTTGATATGGTTTATTAAGGCAACGCTATTGAAGTTATGATTATCATTACTCATTTCATTTGCCCGAAGTCATGTGAGAAGCTCAATTCAAGGTCAAAGCCAAACCGCTTAATTGATTAGAAAAAGTCGCTACACGGGATCAATTTTGGCGCTCAATTTTAGAATTCCTTGACCACAGGGACAAAAACAGACTAAATCTGGCTTCATGAAAGCCAGGAGGGGTCATTGGCCCAAAGTGGCTTCGGCCTTGGTTTTCAGTAACATGTCGTCTAGAGTTGTTCTAAACTGTTTTCAGTTCAAATATTAAAATCTTGAAGCTTTTTGGCGACCCTTTTTGCCTTTTGATGGCCAGATAACGTCACTGACCTATAACGAACACAGGTGACCTTTTGCTTACAAAAATATATTTAGGTTAAGGCTTGTCGCGTGAGGTCTGGGGCATTTTATGCACATAGGTTGAGTTGGACTCGTTGACCTTATTTGATCAAAAGGTCAGGACCTAGGTGTCTCAAAACTTGACACCAATGAGTTCACATAGATCCACAACTATCTTGCCAATTAAATGACTAGCTCCATCAGCTTTTTTAGATCTCAATGTTAACTCAGTCCCCAATCCGTCCGCGGCGCGTTCAGTCTTTAACACGGGCGTGTGGTAACACACAACTGGGCGTGGAAATTTCCCTTTTATGAGCTGCGCCATGCAAAAATACGTCCGCAAACGAAAAACTGTGCACGCAAGGTGGGCCTTGCACAAAACGGCCATTGCCCTCTCTCTCTCTCTCTCTCTCTCTCCTCTCTCTCTTTCTCTCCTGCTCAAAACTCTATCTACTTCTCGCTCTCTTCCTCTCTCTCTTCTCTCCTCTCTCTCTCTCTCTCCTTCTCCTCTCTCTCTCTCCTTCTCTCTCTCCTCTCTCTCTCTCTCTCCTCCTCTCACTCTCTCCTCACTCTCAGTCTCTCTTCTTCCTCTCTCTCTCCTCTCTCTCTCTCTCTCTCTCTCTCCTCTCCTCTCTTCTCTTTTCCCTCTTCCTTGTTCTCCTTCTCTCTCTTCTCTCTCCTCTCTCCTCTCTCTCTCCTCTTCTTCTCTCCTGCTCTCTCTCCTCTCTCTCGTCTCTTCTCTCTACTCTTCTCTCTCTCTCTCTCCTCTCTCTCTCTCTCTCTCCTCGCTCTCTCCTCTCTCTCTCTCTCTCTCTCTTCTCTCTCTCTCTCTCTCTCTTCCTCCTCTCTCTCTCCTCTCTCTACTCTCTCTCTCTTCTCCTCTCTCTCTCTCTCTCTCTCTCTCTCTCTTCTCTCTCTCTCTCTCTCTCTCTCTCTCTCTCTCTCTCTCTCTCTCTCTCTCTCTCTCTCTCTCTCTCTCTCTCTCTCTCTCTCTCTCTCTCTCTCTCTCTATCTCTCTCTCTCTCTCTCTCTCTCTATCTCTCTCTCTCTCTCTCTCTCTCTCTCTCTCTCTCTCTCTCTCTCTCTCTCTCTCTCTCTCTCTCCCCCCCATCAGGGCTTACCTCTCATGTAACAATAGGCGACGCTCTTCATGTTCTTCCTGGTCAGCACCAGCAGATTGAGCAGATTGCCCACGATGCCCAGAGCACAAATCACCGGCATAGCCACACCGTACGTGTAGTATTGGAGCGCTCTTCATTTCCTCCATGTGGTCAGACGCAGACTCGTTGGCGGCGCCCCAGCGGCGGCGCGTCACAGTAGGCCATGCTGGCGGCGGTGGCGGCCAGCAGCTGTCCAGACCTCAGGCTCATGGCACCAGATGCGGCCAGAGAGCGCCCGGCCTCGTCCAGCTCCGAACCACGTGTTGCCAGGAAGGCTCGGCTGCTCTGCTGGCGGTGTACTGTTCCGGCAGGGGCGCACTGGCGACGGCTGAAATTTACCGTCTGAGTCCCGAGAGTACAACCTAGGTCGGATTCCAAGAGCCCCGGATCCAAATGGGCACCAGCGCTTATTTTTGAGAGCCTGTATATAGCTCGGAAGCCACCCGAAAAGTCTAGGAGCACTTAAAGCTCCCGAGAACGCACAGGGTCTAAGGTATCCAGAATGCCTAGAAACATTAAAATGCTTGGAGTTCGCAGCCTACTTCCGCGTGCTGTGAACCTGTCCAAACGTTTTGAAAGAGCCGTCTCGTCCTGTCCAGTGCAGGCTCAGATCTCACCGAGCGTCCTACAAACGCTGAAAAATGAAGGGAGAGTCCTACAAACTCCTCACTTTAGCGCATTGCTGCGGGATGCGGGAGCGCCAGGACGCCCGGAGCCGAGCTCGGGTGGACTGTGAGCATCCACCGCACCACAGAGTCCTTCACCGCACCAGAGCCTCAGCAGAGTTCAGGTCGAGTCGCACCCAAGCTCGACCCAGCGGCAACGAGTCTGCAGCGGCCAGCGACGCTCAGAGCCTGGGTGACAGTCCGCGTCTCACACCGCCAACAGGCTGTAGCGGGCGGTGCACGGCGGGTCAGCCGCCTTGCGCGCCTGCGGAGCCGGGGGCGGCGCTCACCGACTCTCACAGAGCCGCGGCCCGGAGCGCGTGCCGCCTCTCTCCAACAGGCTCCGCGGCGTCGGCTCCGACGAAATGGCCCGTCCGGCTGCCGCCGCTTGGCCGACCGGACTGATCGTCAGCCGACGGGCGCACGAGGCGGCCGTCGGCGGGACACACCCACGCGCAGCCCGCCGTGCGTCTGCCGTCGGGGCCCGGCGCGCGGCTCTCAGTCAGCACCCACGCTGATCTCGGCTCCTCCGGCCGCGGGCCTCGAGGGAGGCTTGGCGAACGGCTGATTAGCCACGCGCTCAGGTATGGTATGCCACAGGCTTAGGTGCTACAGTACCCTACAGGGTTTGACTTGCGTGGGGAAAAAATCCAGAAGCTGTACACAGCATCGGCTCGGGACACCGCGCGCACAGCTCGGATAGCGCGGAGGCTAGCTCTGGTCGCGGTCGACTTGGTCCCCCGCTATCCCGGTCCCGGCCTGGACCGGGGCCACCAGGATCTCGTTTCGCGTTGGACCGGCTACGCCTGTCCGGCTCGCGACTGGGCGTGGGGCGCCGGCGAGAGGAAGAAAAACAAGCGACACGACGGTGCGACGACTGTATTTGGCGTACAAGGCGTTGCCACCTTGACGCCGTTACTGTGGCTCTGGCGACGAAGTGTTCCAACATACATATGAGTACATCGAGCAACCTCTTAACATACACTGCGGCACACCCAATCAACGCCGCCAGGATAAAGCGGTCCCGGCCTGTTAATATTCAAGCGTACCTCAGAATAACATTCTCGTTATACGAACCCTTAGACTATACTCTGTAAAGGCACATGTTATCAGGAGTTATATGGCATACGAACACAAAAATACACTTCAAAACGCATACAGATGCATGTGCCGGCAAATTAAGTCAGACGCAACTGCACTTTCCCAAGATCAGGGGTGGTTCCCTATTAGATTGGGCGTGTAAGGTGCGGGTGTGGGAGGATATAGCCGCCGTCCACCTTCCACAGTAAGCGGGCCAAGTCCAGGGAAAGCCTCATATTATATATATATATATATATATATATATATATATATTCAGCTTATATTTTTATCATATATATATATATATATATATATATATATATATATATATATTTCCATTCAGCCTCCCCCTGACACAACACATTGCATTCCTGTCTCAGGCTGCATGAAGAAGGAACGCGCGGCGAGTGCTTCATTTTCTGTGTTCAGACCTATCTTAGTCCAGTATCTCAAAGCACACAACAGCATCACAACAATCATGGTCTCCCGACGACATTGTGTCGTATGCCGCGAAGACCTCGGCCACATTACATGCTCCCGAAAATAGCGAGCAAAACCGAGATGAGCACGTCCCAGCATTGGTCATTTGTACGAGACGCCCGGAATACACAGAGCATGCGACCGCAGAGTGCAGAGTATCTTGTACAGATAGTCGTATGCTGAGCCTGTGGACGCCTGCGGATATAAACATCCAGATATCCAAATATCCAGATGATTGCCAGAGAAGGCACAACACAAGACAGATCCAGCAGCGGAGTCACGTGGGGCGCTACGCCCATGCACCTTCCTTGTAACCACACGCATCACGCCGCGTATCACCCCAAACCATGAGTGCACGGGACGTGCAACCAAATGCTAGCGCACTAACCAAGCATGATACAGCCAACCACACGGCAGCCGCGTTCCCAAGACCACAGCCGCCGTAGCTTAGATCCTATGAAACTTGGTCTGGAGAAAGGATCGCCGGGGAATTAATGACCGAACCTTCCGATCCGGCTCTCGCAGTTAGTAGTTAGCGGAACGGACACGTGGCGAGTACCTACACACGGCGGCGATCTAAAAAAGCTACGCACATCATTCGAAAACAACACATGAGAAACATTATCGCCGGCACAGCGCGTGGGGCCACCAATGGCGCATCTCGGCCACCAAAAGGTCTCCCATCATCAGTTCGAACATGCCAACTCACTCGGCAAAGACGTTCGCGAGTTAATGGAGTGTCATTACAACCCACTATCCAGGGAAGGCAGTGCCAATGTGGATGATATCTTTATGCTGTAGTCGTTGAGTTTCAGTTCCCGTGTGATCAAAAGATGGCTGTAAACAGACAAACAAGTAACACGCCAAGGCGCCACTCAATAAGCGCAAGACACACTCAGCGTCACATTGGTAACATCACGTTTGCGTAACAGTCAATATCAGCGGCAGGACACGGCGCCTAGCCCGCATTGGGTAGCACACCAACGAGTGCCACCCCGGACAAACACGCAACAACACCACGGGACAACACGTTTGACACCGGCGACGAGTAGATGGCGCTGCGCGCGCGCGCGACGGTGCCGGGCACCACAACACCGGAGCATCGAACATCTGAACACTCCCAAACCAACACAGCTGGTACAGGCGACGCCGCGCTTTGCACCAGTGAGCTGGGCACGCGGCGTCCCACAGACAACATACCAGGCCGTCAGCCAGATCAGCGGACTGGCCAGGTGCTACGCGTGGATGCTGAGGGTGGCTGTCTTCGGAGCGTGTGCAGTCCTCACGAACAACTAATTGGTGAAGCTTTGGAGCGTGTGCAGCCCCCACGGAACAACTGATTGATGGAGCTTCAGGGTGTGTGCGGCCTTCAAGAAACAACTGATTGATGGAGCCTCAGGGCGTGTGCGGCCTTCAAGAAACAGCTGATTGATGAAGCTTCGGGGCGTGTGCAGCCTCCACGGAACAGCTAATTGATGAACACACACATAAAAGACGACGAGCACTGTGGCGACAAGCAGTTAAGACTATCCATGAGAAAACAACACATTTGTGTGCTCAAAATACCGTGATAGACACAAAGACCTACGGAGCCAATACGGGTCTACCCCAAAGGCCACATCAGCGTGCAATGCCTTGCAAGAGTGCTGCCAGGAATGCGGCGGCGCAGGGCGAAGCAGGCACGCCGGCGCTGGCCAGGCGCGCGGACGGCGCACCGGCCCGGCGCCGCTCACAGGTCCGCCAGCTTGGTGAAGCCGCCGTCGCCGCCGCCTTCACCGGCGCGCATCACCTCGTCGTACGTGGGCGGCGGGTCGTAGTCAGGCGCCTGGCAGGCGGGCGCCGAGGGCGCCGACGGCGCCGACGGCGCCGACGGCGCGAAGTCGTACCGCTGCGCGCTGGTGACGGTGGCCGGGTGCGCCGGGCTGGGCCGCGGCGACGGCTGCCAGGCGGGGCCGGCCGCGAACGGCTCCGTGCCGATTGTGAGCGGCAGGTGCAGGTTGATGTGGCGCGACGAGACCTGGGGCACAGACAGCAGCGCGCTCTAGACCGAGCAGCCACGCTTGGGGGCGCGAAGACCAGCTGCGCTTTGGCCATGGGTGCACACTTAGCCGCTTGGACACGTGCAGTATGCCTTGGCGTGTGGTGACTAATCATCGTGGTACCCATTCACGTCTAAACACGACACCTCGAAGAAGCACCCTTACAAGGTTATACCACGAAAAACGGAAAGCGCTAAGCTTGTCGCGTCGCTGTGCGGTTCGTCGTGATCACTAGAGCAATCAGCACATGGCGACTTATTTGGATCCAAACAGCTGCTGTGTGCCGTACTTCTGAACAAAAATGCTGAACGGATCACACTAAGCCAAGCTCGAACGGTTCTCACTGACAAACTAACATCAAAAGCACAGCAGAGACAAAAGGGCCGTAAAAGCATCAGCAGCAGGAGCGGGCAAAACGACCCTAGGTCGGCGCGAGCTGATCCGTCACACCAGCCGCCCCGCGGACCAGCGCTGGCCGCGGCGGCCGCCCACCTTGATGTAGTAGGTGACGGTGATGATGCGGCAGGTGGTGGCGCTGATGGTGATGGCCTGGTGCGGCGGCACGGTCAGCTGGAGCCTGCGCCAGCCGGACGGCCGCTGCGGCACGCCGGCCACCGTCACCGCGCTCACGTCCGTCTTCGTCTCGCGAGTGCGCCCATGCGCTGTGCACACCGTCCTCTGCGGGCGGCGGCACATCGTCGAAGCACGGGTCCACCGATAGGACGCCTCCCAGGCCCCAGTCGCCGCACGCGCTGGAGGCTGGGGGCTGCGCCAGTCTCGCTCCTGCTCTCGCGTCCGAACACACGCGTGATACCACGAGGCAAATGCTGCAGTGTCAGAGCTGACGGCGGCGCGCACCGCGTCTGAGTGACGACTGGCTGGCGGACACGGTAGCACGGGCAGCTCAGCGGCCGGCGCCGGCAGCGATGCGCTCGGCCGTGCCCCGACTCACCTGCTTCAGCTTCACCACGCCGCTAGCCTTGGCCATCTTCTGGAAGAGGCGGTCGGGGCCGTCGATGGTAATGTCGATAGGCTGGCCGCCGATGAAGCCCTGACGCGACATGGTCATCCGAAAATGGCCGATGGCGTGGCCGAACAGCGACTGCTCCGCCTCGCGCTCCACCACCAGTGGCTCCTGCAGACAGACGTCTGTCAACACCTGCTGACAATGCCGCCTCCGCTGTCACACAGGCGTCAACGACTGCTGGTACTGTCGCCTCCGCTGTCACACAGCCGTCAACGACTGCTGACAATCCACAAACAGACAGCCCTCAATGTCTGTTTACACTCTACCACCACCGGCACCAGCCACCACACAGCCGTCAACGTCTGCATGCACTCCACCACCACTGGCTCCTGCCACCAGACAGCCGTCAACGTCTGCTTACACACCACCAACAGAGAGCCGTCAACGACTGCTCACCTTCCACCACCAACAGCTTCCGTCGCCACACAGTCGTCAACGTCTCCAGACACCCCACCACCAGCGGCTCCCGCCTGCTGGCCTACTCGTGAAGTCCGAACCCCAACATAAACGCCTAACGCCGCAACACACACATCGCAAGCGGTCAGGATGAAGACGGCACACCGCACATTTCAACGTCGCATCACGCAGTAGCTGCGAAGACAACTCATGGACTCATGGCACCAATGACACTTCGATGCGCTGCGTCCGAATCACGATAACGCGCCCTGAGAACTAGCTCACAACTGACGCGGTATCCCGCTTCTCTCCAAAGCCAACATCTGCCAGGCTCCAGCGAAACAAAGCTGCCGTTCGTCTGCTGGGGCTCAGCCTTCCAGCCCGCCGAGAGCTCTCGGAGCTCGGAGCCGGCAAAAGCGTCGCGCCGTCCGAGACGTCGCCGCCCCCGCCCTTTCCCTCGCGGCCCGCTCCTCACCGCCAGCTGAGGCTCCGCGTTCAGATCCAGCAGCGGTAGCACCGTGAAGGTGAAATCCTCCTTGCCGTTGAACGAGAAAAAGTCGCTGCTGATGGCCCGCGCCTTGCACATGTAGCTGATCTGGCCGAACTGCGCGGAGAACGACGGCGGCAGGCTGCGGCGCAGCGTGTATGAGAACGGGTACTGGTACGTCCCCGGGTACAGAGCTTCCACGGTTGGCCCTGCAGCGTAAGGGCCACGGTCGTCCAGTGACATGCCGAGAGGCCTTCGCAACGGTGGTGCAGCAGGTGACGGTCGGACAATCGGCGCCAGGCACAGTGGTGAGACCGGATGAGACCGCCCGACCCAGCCTAGTGAGGCCGCCCGACCCAACCTAGTGAGACCGCCCGACCCAGCCTAGTGACACAGCCCGACCCAGCTCGGTGACACAGCCTCACCCAGACTAGTGACAGAACACGACCCAGCCTAGTGACACAGCCCGACCCAGCCTAGTGACACAGCCCGACCCAGCCTAGTGACACAGCCTGACCCAGCATAGTGAGGCGCCCGACCCAGCCTAGTGCAGGACCGCCCCCGACCCCTAGAATCTAGTGACACTGCCCGACCCAGCCCAGTGACCACAGGCATGACCCGGATTAGTGACACGGTCCGCACCCAGCCCAGTGACCCCAAACCCAGCCCGACCCAGCCCCCTAGTGAGGACGCCCGACCCAGCCTGGTGACACAAGCCCGACCCCTAGCCCTAGTGACACCCGACCCAGGCCTGGTGATACAGCCCCGAACCCAGCCTAGTGACACCCCCGACCCAGCCTAGAGAACACAGCTCGACCCCGTGCCTAAGTGACACCGCTCGACCCAGTCTAGTGGCACAGCCCCGACCCAGAGCCAGTGACACAGCCTGACCCAGACTAGTGACACTGTCCGACCCAGCCCAAGTGACACCGCCTGACCCCGCCGTAGTGAGTGACACCAGGCCCGACCCAGCCTAGTCAACACACCCCGGACCCCGCCTAGTGACACCCCCCCCCCCCCCCCCCCCCCCCCCCCCCGCCTAGTGACACAGCCCGGACCCAGCCCAGGGACCCAGCCTGACCCAGCCTAGTGACACATCCCGACACAGCCTAGTGACACAGCCTGACCCAGCCTAGTGACACAGCTCGACCCCCGCCTAGTGACACAGCCCCCCCCCCCCCCTAATGACACAGCCCGACCCGGTGAATTGGTCGCGACGGAGCCTGGCTCAGTGAGAGGCCGCAGGCCGGTGCGATGGCGGAAAGCATTGTTGGAGACTATGAAAACGTGCAACTGGCCCGTGCAAGTGCGGACCTTTGTTACAGTGACGTTCCCGGCAGTCTTTACTTCTCACCGCGCGAAAACAAATCGACCATGGGCGCCGCAGCCTTGGCAGCGGTCGCCGCGACAGGGCTGGCGAACCGTTTCCCTCTGCGTCTGATTTGATCTCACATCCGAACTCAAGAAATACGGTGCTGACAACCCGCGACACGTACAGTTCTGTAGAGCATCGTAGATGGCCTTTCCTCATATTATAGAAAATAGTCTCGAAAAAGACCAATATCCTACTTTGCTTTGCAGCTTCTTCAGAGCAGCAAAATACATTCCCTTTTTCGGCCCGTATCTACGATACGAGCAAAAACTTACTATGCTTCGCATTCATTTAACTTATCCGGTACCTGTACGCTAACTGCAACATCTACAGCTACGTCTCATGCAGGCCATTCTGCTTTGTTTCACTTGAGAGAGGGTAGAGCAGTAACACTATACGGCAGGGCTGTATCCGAACTCCTTGTCACATCGCCTCCGCTCCTGTTTCATGACAAAGAATACTGAGCATGCAGACAAAGACAGGCGCTGGTCTTCTCCACAATCGCACTACCTCGGATGAAGAAGATGTCTTCCCGTAAGAGCCACAGGTCTTCCGTGTGCGTTTTGGTGTGCCGGTTCTTCCCTGAGCCAGAAGACGTCTTCCATCTGGTTCTAGCCAGTCCTCGCACCTTCACCAGCAAGGCTGCGGCCAGACCCAGGCGTTACAGAAGCTCGTGTTCGAGGCAGCGATGGGGTGCAACCAGTGTTGGAAAACTTGACGTTCCTTGGTATAATGTATACCAGGAGATTTTGTACTCTAGGATTGTGACTAGGTAAAACGAAACATTTTGTAACATAGCGCAACACAGTCACGAATAGCCACTGCGACGCCCTCAACCTCCGCCGGTCAAATATCTGACAGAATGGGAACGGTGTCTGGTGCCTGCTCAGCTGGCAGCACTCTGACAGCATTTTGGCAGCATGATACGCGCAGCAAACATCTTAGCAGGAACGAAGTCCAAAAGCAAGTAAAAACAAACTACATCACATGGCCCTGTGCAAGTCTCGTCGGCCAGTTTGCTGTCCGCTGGATGTCAGGCAGCCAGACAGCCCTACCCGATGTGCCCGCCGCCGGCCGGTGCGCCGAGGGGGGGGGGGGGGGGTACTCACAGGACAGGCTGTGGGGATCCCGGCCCCCGATGGTGAGCGTCATCACTCCATGCAGAGTCTCGCCAGGCCGGTAAGCGCCCGAGCCAGTAAGGCTGGGGCTGAACGATATTGAGATCGACTCAATTCCCATTCTGCAACCAGAGGTGGGCTTGTGAAGCACAGCATGTACTTTGTAAAGTGCAGAAAGCATGACTATGCATGTGTGCACAAGCATGAAAAACAAATACCTGAGTCTTTGAAATGTAGGACTGGTATAGCTACTAAATCATTCCTTTGACTGCATCTTCCACATCAAGACTGCATCAAGAAGTGATATGCATATAATATGCATACACATTATATATTGGTATACTCCAGCCATATATTTTTGCTCAGACAAACCATTTGAGCATGTCAGGTGGAGCTTTTAACAGTTATATATATATATATATATATATATATATATATATATAATGGGACAATATTTCCTATAGGTACAGATGGTTATATGTCAAGGCACAATTGATGACGAGGCAAAACTCATAGACAATGAAGAATGTTTCCTGAAATGTTGTACTGGAATTGTTTGAAAGCCCTGAAAAAGACATAAAAGATAAAATATGCAAAGAAACCAATAGCAATAGCAAGGGCAAGAGGGAGAGCACAGGAGCACAAGTGGACAGGAGCACAGGAGCATGGGAGAACAGGAGAACAGAACAGGAGAACAGGAGAACAGGAGAACAGAAGAACAAGAGAGAGAGAGAGAGAGAGAGAGAGAGAGAAAAAAAAAACAGAAACAGAAACAGAAACAGAAACAGAGACAGAAACAGAGACAGAAACAGAGACAGAAACAGAAACAGAAACAGAGACAGAAACAGAGACAGAAACAGAGACAGAAACAGAGGGCAGAAACAGAGGACAGAAACAGAGGACAGAAACAGAGGACAGAAACAGAGGACAGAAACAGAGGACAGAAACAGAGGATGGAGAGAGAGGATGGAGACAGAGGTCAGAGGCCAGAGATGGAGACAGAGACCAGAGATGGAGACAGAGACCAGAGACCAGAGACAGAGACAGAGACAGAGACAGAGACCAGAGACAGAGACCAGAGACAGAGACCAGAGACAGAGACCAGAGACAGCAGAGACAGAGATGGAGATGGAGACAGAGACAGATACAGAGACAGAGATAGAGATAGACACAGAGATAGAGATAGAGATAGACACAGAGACAGAGACAGAGACAGAGACAGAGATAGAGACAGCAACAGATATGGAGATGGAGATGAGCCTAAAACATGAACATCAAAAACATTTGTACATACCCAAATACAATAAGATGATGAAACATGGGCAGAATCCCCCTATCTGTAATGCTGTAACGTTAACACATTGCTCCACAAGCACCCCACAAAACTTGGATATTTTCACCCCTAAGACTTAAACCTCAGCAAGTGCAATGGTGCTTTAGCTTCACACTGCTACTGTACTATGCCACACAATTTCAGATTCAGAATCAGCTTGATGGTGCGAAGCCAAAAGTTTGAAGCTAGTGCCTGCAGATTTAACATGATGCTTTGAAAACATAACTGTTAACTTCCACAGTGGCTCCACCTTCACAATTAAAGCTTCATGTCCACTGCTTTCGGCTTCGACTTCTTTTCAAGTTATTGTCTTGGTTTTGGATTCAGATTTGAAGTAAAAACCCTGCCATTGTGCCATGCTTGTTTTGGACCAGCACTTAGCCACACATATAACATTAAGCAGCATGTACCTGACCCTTGGGGTTTTGCACTCGGTCAGTTCCACAATTTTCACCTTTTTTGTATGTATTTGCATGTATTTATTTCACATGTATTTCACATGCAAGCCAAATGAGGTAGAAATGCATCTATGTGAAACTTTCATTTGAATGAGCTTCTTATAAAAAGCTCACTTATTTATGATGAGTTAAAACTTTATAGTGCATTCTATTCTTCTCAATTAGGCAGAAGCATTGATTTCAGATGGATGTGACTTCCAACATTATTCTAAATAATTTTTCATATCGGCAGGGCTTGGGAAACTTATAATTCAATAACCAATAGGCCCAATACAGGTAGCATAAAAGCCAATAAAAATGACTGATAACAACTGTCATTAAAAATGGCTTGGCTTACTACCCATCTACCAGGTTTGCTTTGATGCCAGCAAACCAGCACTATGAGGAGATTGGAAACAAAAGTCCAAGTATCTCCTGAATTTATTACTGATTGTTTATTCACTTACACACACAATGAATAGCTTGTATGTAAACAGGTTTCTATCACTGTACTGACTGTTAGTTGATTGGCATGTATGTATGGTTCACATATAAAGCATGCTTCTTCATCACTGCAGATGAATTAGGCTGGACATTGGCTACATGCATGGTACATATGTTTGTGATAATACTGAGTCTATCAAAACCAGACAGGCACAAATCTTCCATTGTAATGTTTACCAAGCTCCATTCATCAATGTTTATTCTGCAATGTTTAGTAACCCACTCCATGGTAATACTGGACAGCTTCTAACTTCGAAATCGAAATTACCCTCACAATTCTTCTTTGAGGGGACTCCTTCACCTCAGTGTACATCACTTCTTACAAATTGATGTTCAGGATTTATGTTGTTGACCATGCTAGTTGGATATACATTAACACACCAGCTTGGGATGCAACACTCCTGTTCTCACCTCCGCACCATTCAATCACCCCGCACTCACCTAATCACCCACGGGATAGTCAATGGAGCTTCGATACTCCAGCACTGGGCATTTCTGGCCTTGGCACTGGGTTATGACTTCATATGCTTCGGGGTTTGGGAAGTCCTTGGCCGTCATTGGCCAACCGATTGCATGTTACAACCTATGACGTCATAGGTGGTGGGTCTACGTCATGCACGGGCGCCCATGTTCATCCACGGCTCGAACGTTACGAATTTATGTACTATTCTTACACAATTTCTACGTCATACGAAGAGCCTTTCTTCAGCCGGTAGAAAAGTTGAAAGTAAAGAAATGAACCGCATCGCGCGACACAACACGACAGTATACGCCTTAATGACTAATCCAAGGCCTGACTGACCTGACTTGTCCTCATTGCGCAATGTTTGTGACGGCGGCGCGCTGCATCATCGCGGTAATGTTCTGAGAATACCTAGAAAACCCTCTTTAGTTGCGCAACATCAGCCACACGTATGACCACGGAGGATGCGAGTGGTCGGTTTCCCGATGGGAATCAGTCCAGTGGCTTAGCCAAATAGGGAACTCTTGGGATCATGCTCGCGGCTCCCACTTAGGTGGGGAGGGGGGGGGGGCGCGGGGGTCATGCAGGGTTTTCGATTTTTGTGAATGATTGCGGGACCAGCTGTGGGATTGCGACCTGTTGCCCCACCCCCCTTTCACAACCAGTTTAGTCATGGCTGGAGGTCCTGCGAGGGGGGAGAGTTTGGACCCCGGGCCCCGCAAAACCTAAAAGGTTGGTGGGGTCCGGGGTCCGAAGGAGGTCGGTGAGGCGGCCCGAGGGCTCCATGGAAGAGCTCTTCAGCTAGCGCAACGCAGAGACAAGATGACCACACTGACTGAGGGACGTGCAAAAATAGACCGCCAAAATGGAGCTTTCGACAATAACAAATTTCCCCTCTGGATATTCACAAGGTCCATTCACAAACCATGGTAGCCCACCCTTTCTGGCCACCCGGGGCATTGGCAAGTCAAGGGCTTTTATAGCTAATCGGGGCCCTCTGGACTTTTTGAGGCCCACCAGAACACCAAGGGACCTCAGACTACCCAGGAAGTCTGGCCGCTAAGGGGTCGCATTGACCGCTCGGGGCCCTATGTGCAGTTCCCTTTTGGTCATTGAGGGTCTCCTTTGACTATTGAGGGGTCCCCAGCCGGTAGTATTTCTTTCGCTTTGACTGTTGAAAGCTGCTCTGGCCGCACAGGGTCAACCCGGTCACCAAAGGGCGTCTTTATTGGTTGAGTGGCCCTTAAAACCCCTGAACAGATTAAGTACTCGTCGCGCACGCAAGTACTCGTCTGGCCATGGAGGGTCCCCTGGCTGCTCAGCGGCCCGTCTGGTCACCAGAAGCCACAAACGTTGAGCTGTATCAGCGCGACACTCTGGACACTAGGGATCTTGTTAATTGCTCAGAGTCCTCTTCGCCGCGCAGGCGTCCCCAACTTGTCAACTCAGAGCAGCCGCAAGAACCCTTAGAGGGAACGACGAGATTACGGTAAGGAGAGCCGACAAAACAGCCTTATGCGTGATTGTTGACAAGTCTGATTACCATAAAAAGAGCAACGAAATAGTTCCAGATGAAGTCAAGTATGAACACATTAAGCGTGACGCTACATCCAGCTTGAAAACCAAAGTAAATAAACTGATCGACTGCGCCAAAGCTGTCAGGGATGGTGTTCATTTCCGGAAGATTATTGGAGAATATCAGCCCGGCTACGCCTATGGCAATGCTGAAATTAATACAACAGAAAACCCACCGCGCCCGATCATTTCACAATGCCCAACGCCAACCTACCAACTGGCCAAGCAGCTCAACTGCCTCCTCGCACCGTACACTCCTATGAAACATAGCCTTAAGTCAACGGACGAGTTCTCAGACACGCTAAAAAGCACGCAATCTTCTGGCTTATTAGCATCACTGGACGTCGAGTTCTATTTATGAACGCTCCGGTAGAAGCAAAGATACAAATCCTATTTTAAAACACCGATCAACACCCAACCATCCCTCCTCCTAAATTCAGTCCCTCCTCCCTGGAGAATCTCCTGTGAGCATGTACGACGGATGCACCATCCCGTGCACCGGACGGCAAACTCTGCGGATAAAAGAATGGAGTGGCCATGAGGTCCCCCTAAGGTCTCCTTTTGTCAACGCCTACATGTGCCACGTGGAGAACAAAGTCCTTGAAAATGTATCCGTTCGTCACGCACTTTACGCACGATATGTCGATAATTTCGCAGACGTTAGTGACGAAGGCCAACTGAATGAACTAAAAAATGCAATGGACCAAGCCTTAGTTCTCCGATTCACCTACGCACTTGGCGGCAATAACCGTATTCCATTTTTGGATATAGATATCACTGCTGACTAACAGCGATTCGTGACAACATTGCACACAAAGCCAACAGATGCTGGAGGATGTCTTAGTGCAAAAGGTGAATGCCCCGATCGGTGCAAGATCAGCGTATTGCGCTCCTGCCTTCGAAGAGTCTTTAAACTCTGCTCTGAGTGGACGCAACTACACTGTGAGCTGCGGCACACCAAACAAGTCCCCGTAACTAATGGCTACTCCAATAGTCAACGGCCATGATACCAGCAGCTTCATGTAACGATACCAGACAAAAACTGCCGCCATCAAACATAAACCAAATCCAATCAAGCTGTTCTATCGGAATCAAATGTTTGATAGTTATAGGACAGACGGGCGAATCCTCAAGAAAATGATGTCTGAAATATTAAAGCCAATCAACCAGGAGGACAAGATAACGTTCACCACCTGCCACAAAAAAAAAACAGAGATCACCCAACTCATCAAGAAAAATAACCTCACAGCCAACTCTGATCCCTTGAAACGAGCTAACGTCGTTTTCCAATTTCGTTGTGACAGGAGATTGCAGGCTGCTAAAGCAATCAAACCACGTTGGTGTCACGACCACTACACTTTCAAGGACGGTTGACGATGCGCTCGGCTGACGGTGGTCCAAAAGAGAATGTGCCTAAAAGAACATGGCCGGAACATCAACTGAGACGACTTCACCAAAAACACTACTATCATGACACCATCATCAAACAGGAGGAATCTTCATGTTCTGGAGGTCCGTCACGATCAAACATCGTCACCGGAACTAAATACGCAAACCAACTCCTCAGTCAGTCCTCACCTCATCTAGGGACGATCAATAGCATCCGTAGATGGTACATCTAAAATCAAACGGTGTTGGTCGCTTGCATTCTCATGCTCCTAAAAAATGCTAACCTTGTATGCTGTGTGGGTTACTTTGAAAATGGAACATGCCGTTCCGAAACGTTAGTACAATCAATAGATGTCAAAAAGCGGCGAGCTTCTGTCTGTCTGAGTCTCAATAGGAAGCAGAGGGTCATAATTAGAAAACTCGAGCAGGACAGAAAACAAATTATGAAATGTACCTACGCAAAGGTCTTGAACGGTACTTGCACATGCATGTATATGCATATATATGCATACACACATACACACACACACTCATACACACACACATATATATATATATATATATATATATATATATATATATGTGTGTGTGTGTGTATGAGTGTGTGTGTGTATGTGTGTATGCATATATATGCATATACATGCATGTGCAAGTACCGTTCAAGACCTTTGCGTAGGTACATTTCATAATTATATATATATATATATATATATATATATATATATATATATGTATATAACTAATAACCAGAACATTAGGCGCGAAATCCGGAGAGCTTTTGGCGCTGCCCGTATGGCCTCCACGAATCTAGCCCCCCCCCCCCAACCATTTTCAGACATTGACGCCCATGGAAGCAAGAGATGCATTTTGCCGGAGCTACCCACCCTCTCGCTTAACCTCACTATTATCTCATCCTCATTGTCGGCGCGCCCCGGCCTTGGTGCCTGATCCAGAACCAGCTTCAGGCAGATGCAGAGGTGTAAGACGGGCTGAGCGTACGCGCGCCAGTGAATCACCCTGCTGACGCGAGCGACACCTGCTAACACCCACAGGACTGATCTGCATTTGAGAAATTGGAAACTCCCACCGTAGCCCCAAGTGGGGGAAACGTCCAGCGCTGCTCTACGACATAAAATGAAGGCCAATGAATCAAAAGATTCATTGTTTTGCCCGCTTTAATTTATGTTTATTTTTTACACCAAACTTGTCCGTCCCAGTGGCTCAGTCGGCTAGAGCGCCTGCCTTCCGATGCGCCCACCCGTGGTGGGGTGGGTTCGAGTCGCTTTCGGACGCTCGCTATTTGCCCTTGACAGGTATGGCATGGAGCCGGGGGCAGCGGTCGCGGTAAAGGCAACCTTTCGCCACACACACAAAACACGAGAATCCATCCCAGGTAACTGAGACCAGGCCACCTGCAACTAGCGGGCGATGGCAGGAGAGAAATTTCATATATGTAACCACAAGTGCCATGAGTTATGGGCCCTCGGAGACACTCAAACCCCAAAATTTTCATCTGATTGATCCACCGGGTGATTCAAGGCTGGGCATCCCACTCCAGGACACAATATTCAGGATCTCAATACTGCAGTGGTCACACTCTCCACCACTTGGGCGCAAAATGACCGCTGCAGTCGACGCGCCCGAAAACTCCAATGAATAACAACACTCTCCACCACTAAGACCGCGACAGTCACCTTCGGTTTGTTTCGTCACGTGCGAGACAAATTTCACATAAGCCGCACGATGACTGCAAAAGATGAGCAGCAGCTTCCTATACAGAGGCACCCGTCAAACCGAGCAGGTGCGCGCGGGCGCTGAGCGGCGGGCAGTGCTGCCCCAGCGGGCCTGCGGGGCGGACCCCGAACGGTGCGCCGCCTGCGCCCGGGGACCCGTCCTCGCCAGACTCCATCCCGTCCAGACTCGTCCTTATATTTCCCGATATCCCCGCCACAGAGCAGCGTCAGATGGTGCCCAGTTCTACACAGACACACCGGCAGCACCGCTGAAACAGACTAACCCCGCTGTGGGAAGTGGAAGAGTACGCACAATACTGGAAGGGAGCGGTAAGTTGGGATTTCGGTTTCTTTCGCGGCGGGCGGTTGAACCGATTGCAGCAGGATGGACGTTGGACAAGGCCGAATCAACCAAAACGACGGCCACAACATTGCCAATGAATCATAACTGCGCCATCAATTGCGTGCCATGTCCAACCATTTCCGCACATTCAATAGCATGCCTTGTTACGGCAGATCGTTGTGATTTCATACAGTAACGGGGTTGCAATAGCATGCTACTGCACTTGTCAAACACAAGATATACTGATTGACACCGGTGATCTGCGGGCCGTTGTGTCCACCCAAAGTATAATGCAGGCGAGTTGCATACTAAAACCAAAATAAAACTACTTGATAAACATTATCAGGCGGCTCAACGCAGGAAAGTGGGAAGGCTCCAAACAGCAAGCTGTCGCCAGCTTCCATTAAGGCGGACACTCGAAACACCTGACAATTGGGGCTGTCTAATACGCGGTTAGCTATTACAAGGTGCAGTTCCGTAACAAACGCGTCTTCCCAGCACGCCCGCTACCAGTCCTAGCAGCATTTGACAGTCTACTTGGGTTACGTGAAGAGCTTCTGGGCAAAGATCACCGGAGGCAAATGAGAAGCTTCTGTGCGGTTAAGCTGGCAACATGAAACATTCGCATTCCATTAATTAGGTTTAGATACTTATCGATACTCTCAACGTTGCTCGAGTCAGATAAACTGTGCGACCACTGCCGACCACACATTCATACCACCATCCACCACACAAGACACACAGATTTCTTGAAATTCACAGAGGCCTGATTACCAAAAACCGTCCTTTAAAGGCCCACGGTAGCGTTTTGCAGACAAACAAATAACCGAACAATTCAGCGTTGCACGCCACTTGTAATCGTAGCCACACCTTTTGCCGTCATCAGATAGTGCAGTCAGGCCTTTTTGCGGCCGATGGATGCGGCAGCGACCTGTAACGTGGTCGCTGGATACGCAGCCGCGTGTTTTTTAGTCCACTGGAAACGGGGCAGCTGAGTGTCCCAACTATCACTGATTGCCGCGGCCACCTCTTTTGGCGTTCACTGGATGCAGTGGCTGCGATAGGTTTCACGTCCGTTAGATACGGTGGCCACGCGTGTTTTGGCGTCCATTAGATACGGTGGCCACTCCGTCCTGACGTCCACTCCCCCGGCAGCGCGTCAGCGTCGGCGCGCGCGGCCCGCCGGCGGCGTCCGCGGGCCGCCTAGTTCCGTTGGCCCCGGCCGCGCCCCCGCTCACCGCGGCCGGCCGGCAGCTCCTCGTCCTCCTGCGAACGGGCCACCGTGCCATGAGAGATCGAACCGCGCCACACACTCACGCCATGACGCGGCACAACAGGCGGCTGCACGACTACGAGCGTCCTAACGGTGGCGGTATGCACGGCGGTGCATACCGTCCTGTAGCACACATCTTGATGGGAACGACACATTGGCCGAATATAGATCATGTCAAGTAGAAGAAATAGTGTACCATCGTACGTTCCAGGCGAAACGGTAATCAAGTTTTTCCACCTGAACCGGAGCCAAACACGCGTGCAAAACAATCCACATTTATGGCCTAAAAGGTGGAAATTTTACGCAAACCGTACCAAACTATTGCTTGAACAATTATGTCACGATACAATTTTGATTTTTTACAATCATTGCTTTCTTCCTTCAAGTGCATATCACAAGAGGAAACAACGGACGCATTACATTCTGGGTTAGCGTCACCAAACAGGCACCATTAATAATTTGCACATCACGCCACTTCGTTTGGCGTACACTGCGGCGCTGACGCCTCGCAGCCACCTACGTTGAAAGACACCAATTCAATGTTGGGTGGATAAAGTGTCCCAGTCGTTTTTAACAATTTATGACACTTTAAGGAAGCTGAATAGTACACGAATTCCAGTGCATGCATTAGCATGACGGCGTCATGCAGAGCATCACGTTTATAGGAAGATCTTACATAGCTTTGTTGAAATATAACACTTCTGGAAACGGCACAACTGGATGCATCACTACTGCAAATGTCTCCTTTCGCAGTGAGTTTCTTGTTTTTGTTTTGGCGTAGTGATGCTTGTTTCCCAGCTGAAGACGCTCCGGTGACAATGCCAGTCAAATTTGTGTTCTTCCAGAGAAATTTCGACCTATAGCCACCAATGTGCTGTAGCCACCAATGTGCTGTAGCCACCAATGTTAGACCACCCCCAACGTCTCAGCTGGCTTAACTGCATGAAAGTGGTTCATTTTTGGACCTCTCAACGACGGATTTTTACATGATCGCATTTGGGCATAACTCACGGGCCGTTGTAAACATGATGCGTGAATAACGGCAACGTCCGGTAACCAATTTCACAAAGCAGAAACGGAGGTCGTAAAGCCTCTGATTTCATCGTAATCGTATCGCGTCTTTCGGATATCAGTCAATAACGTTTCCATTTTGCCGGCATATCATATTCATCGAAGGCATAAGGGATCATATGACACGCTAGGTCCTATATACATCAACTCAACATGTATGCATCGTGATATTAAAAAACAATGTACTTAATGCGCATTTATGTTTTTCCGGTATTGACCTGCGATGCTTCCGTATAAGGAAAACTTCTCAGGTATTTGAAGGCATCTTGTTATTTACGTGTGCTAACGGCATTGGTGCTGGACAGCAGAAACACACCCTGCGTTTTCATCACACTCGATTTACTCTGACGGACTATCACGCTTGATGGAATCACACACAAAGTTGCTGAAAGGAAAGCTTATAAAAAAACGTTAAGTGGAACCAATACGGCTTTGCTAAATGATGCATTTTAAGAACGCAACAAAATCGTTAACAGTGTCAAAACAAACACAAATGATGCACAAAACGCCTTTTTACCTCAGCAGCCTGTGCTACTTGCGTATGTTTTCATCAGTCTGGGCCAATCAACCTACCCCAAATGGTGGGACAGACTAATCTTGCAATATAGCTTATCAAAAGTGATCAATCCAGCTCTCGTATCCACATAACAAACATGAGTGATAATTGGGTTCAGCATGTGATGGGCATAGACCACTTCTCAAGGCGTGACATCCACTTAAGCTAAGGGTTGATCTCAGTTCGTCTTTGTTCATTGGTTTTAAAATTCAGTGTTTTTGCAGTCAATATCAGTGATGCACAGGATTTCCAACACGAAAGCTTTAATACTTGTTAGTGAATGAAAGTATCGACGTGAACAATAGTGAGATTCGGAATTCCTCCCTCTTCGTAAAAATCAAAGTGCGCACTTTTCAAAATCGGTCACAGCCGAAAACCTAGGGGGGCACAAAAACGACAACAAGAACTTGACGATACTGAGGGGGAGCAGAAATTACGCTCACGTCTTAAAATTACGGCAGTGGCTACGCAAAAGCCGATCATAATGCCTTATGCAATAGAAAGCGCGCCATATGTCTTTTCTCTACCGTCAAACGAGTCGCGGCAACTGATTCAGTGCCGGAGTAACTTAGTTTCCTCTTTAATTTGTGCACAGACAGCATTGACCGCTGACAGCAGAGTCTTAAATGCTACGCATTAACGTCACGTCACGTCACGTCACGCCACGCCACGCCACGCCACGCCACGCCACGCCACGCCACGCCACGCCACGTCACGTCACGTCACGTCACGCCACGCCACGCCACGCCATGCCACGTCACGCTGCCCAAAGTCACGTCACCGTCGCCGTCACCCGCCGTCACCGTCACTGCCACTGTCGCCATCATCGTCACCGTCACCGTCAGTCACCGTCACCATCACCGTCCACGCCAGCGCTCATCATAATAACGCCATTAACGGTGGTCCTCATCTCTATTTGATCCGAGAGCTTAACTCGCATGATGCTCCGTTCCAAAGACGTTGGATGGAAGTCACTTTTGACAAACGGAAGGCCTTACCGCCGGTCCTGAACGTACCCGTACGTGCGTAACTCTCCATATACCAGAAGAAAAAAATGGACATTAATCGCGGGGCAGAAACTTTGCAATAATCCAAAATTTCTAACTTGGATCTTCGCGGGGGGAGATCGCCACTTCTGAATAGCACGCAAAACGGCGCGTGGCGTGCCGATGTACAAAACATCCCTCGTGCCTACGAGTTACGAATAGATCTTCTCCCGTAAACAAAAAACAGAATTAAATACATAACTTGTTTCATTGCCGAGAGGGAGAGGCGACATGTCGACCGTAGCGCGGCCACACCTCCGCGTTGACATCGGCCACAACGCTCACACGCAGCCCTGTACTGCGTCAACTGTGTCAGAACGTCATGTTTTTTCGAAAATATGCACAATGTGTGCACATGCTGAGGAAACGTTGGGCAGTGTGTAATGCCCATGCCGGCACGGATGGAGAATGTGATATGGGGACATGGCAGTGCCAACACCCACTCTCATTGGAATTAGTCTCATTTTAAAGGAAACATGCACAGTTGAAGACATTGAAGCAAGCATCATATACGATGAAATAAGCTCACTTATACCAATTGTATAAGCATACTTTAAGTGGATAAGACCGCTCTAGAGAACACAATTTCTTGGTGTAGTAAATATACTCCTCAATACGTCATTGTTTGAATGTGTCATGGGACCTTGCAAACACTGAGGACAGCTGGTTGAAGGGCGTTATATCTGGGCGTAATTTCTGGAAATCATAAGAAACCACGAACGTCACATGTGAACGACTCGACAATCAAATTGTTAGCCTCGATCACTGCAAGGCTAATGGAATGGCAGAATTTGAATGGCGTTACTATGGCATCATGGATGCCTGGGTGGCCTTGAAAAAGTCTGCACGCCATAGTTTGCACATCGCCGCAGGCGTCAAGCTCAGAAACTAAAAGGGTTTAGGTCATAAAAAGGGCAGGGCTGCGAACCACACCGAATGATCTTCAATATGGCTACCTCAGTTCACACCCCACACACATGCGGAATACTCCCTTTAACATTTAACCATTGAGACATACTGACCCAAGCGCCTTCACCACACATTCTGCTTCGCATTGTAATCCCATCAATGTCGGTGTTTCATTGACATTTCGCTGAGCGATTGGATGAATGAATGGCAAGCGCATCTGGAGAGTGTTAGGAGCAGAGTGAGGCATAAATTACGTGACACGCACTATTAACTGTGGACAATGTGCAGTATAACCTGCATGGAACAAAATTACTAACGGCAGAACGAACAAACACTTCATGAATGCGAGCCTTGCACGATTCTGCATTTAAACGGTCGAAATTTCTCATCCAAGTAAATAGCTATATTCACCACTGCTTCCAGCAACAGCACACTAAACTTCGTGCAATATTCCGGTGAAACCACTTAATAGTGAACCATGAAACAAAACCCTGCCTTAGTTTTTGAAGAATTAGCACTGCAGCAGGACAGCTAGCACTGGCGGACGCGGGCGGTCATGCTTATCATCGTCGTAGGGAAGAGAATCGCCATTAAGGTTGAAAGCTGCAGCTACACGAACATATGTGGACTAGTTTGCCTGATTGGTACAACAAAGCTCATCTTGTTGAGCACTTCTCAAATTGTTCTCTCTGACTCGAATCCTACGCCCATCTTCATAACTTACTTTCTTCATCCACAAAATTAACCAAATGATTTAACACACCAACGGCCAAAGTTCTGCTTTAATGGACTAACCCAAATTGTTTGACAGCATTTGGATAGTTTGCATCTTATGACCTGCGTCTGACACCTTATTTCGATAAGCAGTCATTCAGAACGTTCCAAAGCAGCCAAGGCCCATGCACTTCAGCTGTGGGGCGTAATACAAATCACTGTCACGTCAGCAACACCGAAGCTCCGCCCCAAGACTCGCGGCACGTTCGCTGGGACGGCGGGAAGGTCGTCCTGTCCATCGCTTCTCGATTGCCTGCCAGCCATGGCATCAAAGCTACACTGATTCTTTGCTGCCCTCCACAGGGTCAGCCGCCTTTTTTGACTCGAAGTGTTATAAAACGAACTACTTTTGTGTGTTGACGGTACCCAAGGTTTATTATTCAGTGTTAGCGATGGAGATAATTCTTCTCGCACATTCATTACGCAAGGTTTCCGAGGTGTATACAAAGGTGGCACCATGTGCATGCAGACAGTCAGTAAATACACTATGCGAATTTGACTCGAGTCAATTAAAAAAAAAAAACATTGGATGGAATGGCCCTACGTGGTCAAATCATAGTATAATTTTGGGGGGACCGATACGACCATGACCACTCTCTTAGATCTCACCGAGTAGCATATTACACATTTGGTGAAACTTTCATCATTTGAATCAAGCTGCACCAAAATGGCAGGTGGGTGGCCTTGTTTCAGGTGGCCCGGCGACAGGTGACGTCACTGGGGACATGCTGCACGTCACGCTAATTCGTTCTTCAAAGTTATGTCCGTCATTAATTTCCATTTAACTTTCATAGTCGGCCGTACACGGGGCTGAACCTGAGCATACATTTAGTCAGCACGACATTACTGCTGTGACAATCCTAGTCGCAAAATTTAGCCTTATTGAGTTGTAGGCTTGCGCGCCATAGAGTGGTAGGTAGCTCTTACAAGAGAAGGGAACGACGCTACGCAGTATGTATTCCTGACAATGATGCTTGCCCTGCTTTCACGGGAGACTTTAAAAGGCATTTTATGAATACGACCTTTTACAATATTGTATACTACTACTACTCCATACATCATACACATCAACAAACACCAAACAGACCTTCTAGAGTGTCTTACACCATTAGGCAGTGGGTTCTCTGAGAACTCAAAATCTGGCATGGTAGACTGTGTTCTCCTCTCCTCCAGCAAAACTATGAGAACATGAACAATGCTGTCTCCGGAGCTTTCCGCTTCTTTTCCACGATATAACAGGCAGCACATATATCAAGGTATAAGTGCGTGCTACTGTGTAACCTCATGACACGTTTTTAACGTGCCCCACCAAAGTTCAATGCTCTTATAAATGGCCACAAGTTTGAGAGTAATTGCACGCCATGTTAAATTTCGCAGCATAGACTGTCCGTCTCTTTGCCAAGACCATTGTCAAGTCATTCATTGATAAACAAACCTGACAAAGAATCCCACAACTTGCTTTCAAACACAACTCGGAAGCACGTTACAAATCCTACATGGCGTAACTTGACCTTCAATTTGAACCTGAACTTGAATTGCGGAACTTTCGGATAACGCATCAAAGTACCCCTATCACGGTACGAATTGAGATGCATTTAAATACATAACCATTGAGGCAAACCCCAGCGAATGCTGAGTGGCTCCATATGCTTCAGTGAAGTTGTTTGCTTCTTCGCAGTTTGAGGCAAATGCATAATGGTGTTAACACGACCCCGCAGACACATGTGTTAAGTCTCGCCATGTGGCAACTGAATGCATCACCGCTCCGCCTGCCTCGCTTCGGGCGCCAGGGCGGCAGGTCCACCGCCCGGCGACAGAAGCGGCACGTACCTTGGCTGCGTGGTGGGCCTGCGGCTTCCGACCCTCCTCCTCCTCCTGGCGCTGCTCATAGTGCACGAAGTCGTCGAAGATGGAGGTGCGGTGGCCGTACGAGTGCATGATCTTGAGCACCTGGCGGCCCTTGTCGGCCGGCACCTCCTGCGTGTCGCGCGAGTTCGTCACCGGCTTGTTCTCGTTGTTCTCCAGCCGGATGTGTCGCAGCTGCGAGTTGGGCACGTCCTTCACATAAATCCACTTCACTTTGAACTGTCCCTTCCACTTGTCCTGCGCCCAGACGGACACAGACGAGTTATAGTCCAGCGACGAGAGCATCTGCGCCATGCCGCAGAAGTGTCCGCTGCCATTGACCGAGAACAGCAGGTAGATGGGGCCCTTCCCGTCGCGCTCGCGGAACGCCGCGTCCAGCCGCTTGTTGCCGTGCTCCGTGCTGCACCAGATCTCGTACTTGATCGACCGGTGGATGTCGTCCTCCGAGTACGACTTGATCACGAAGAAGCGGGCGTTCTTCGGGTTCAGGTCGAACTCCTTGGGGTTGTACTCGTTGCGGTCGCGCAGTTCGTCGAGCACGGGGTGCGCCGGCGGCGGCGCCGGCGCCTGCTGCGCCGGCATCGGCTGCGGCGGGTAGCCGAGCGGCGGCGCGCCGCGGCCGCGCGGCGCCAGCCAGCCAGGTCGCGCCGACGCCGGCGGGCCCACCGGCTTGGGGCCGCCGTTCTTGCCGTCCCACATGCCGATGGCGTCGCGCGTGCCGCCGCCCACCAGCGGCATCACCATCTTGTTCGCGAGCGGCACGGGCCGCGCCGGCTGGCTGGCGATGCTGGCCCACGACTTCTTCTGCGGCCCGCCCGGCGGCGCCAGGTCGCCGTACACGCGCGGGTCGTGCTTGGGGTCCACGCTGAGGCGCTGCATGCCCTGCTCCACCTGCTTGATGCCGCGCTCGTCGGCGCCGTAGGCGGCCGGGTCGCCGCGGTAATAGTCAGTCGTACTTCCGACCGACGCCGCTGCCCCAGGCTGAGTAGTCGCCGTTACCATGGAACGGGCCGTAGTTGAAGCCCGGCTGGCCGAAGCCGCCGAAGCCCTGGCCGCCGAACATGCCGTCCATGTTGTAGCTGTCGGGCTGCACGGGCGGCTGGCTGTAGCCGCCCATGAAGGCCAGGTGGTCGCCGCCGTTGGACCAGGCGCCGTCGCCGACCCCGAACGTCTGGTACGGCGGGTAGCCGGCCGCCGTGCCGCCATAGTAGTTGGACATGTACGGGTCGGCCGAAGCCATGCCAGACATGGCCGTGCTGTAGCTCGGGTGTTGGTGCGTGCGCCAAGCATCGAACGGCTCCTCCGGCTCCGCTACCACTCCCTCCTTCGGCGCATTTCCTGCAAGGGCAGCTGTGATCAACGCCCAAAAACAACCACCGCAAGCGAATACGCTTACTTTCACATACAAAAGGCTGTCAAAACGATAACAATCAGTCAGAAATCCGGCCTCCCCCTTCCTCTCTGCCTCCTCCTCCCCCCTCCTCCACATAGGTCTTGGCTAAGAACACCCGTAACCAATTAAGAATCAGCGAGATAACGCAAACATTGTCGGGCATACAACGAGCAGCAGCTATCAGTAAGCTTTCCACCGGAGAAGGTTTCGACCGTCTTTGGAAAGATGGCATTTATGCGATTCAGATGAGTTTTCAAACATACGGCATCTGCGGGCACCCGGGCATCGGCGAGTCGTCAACAGTGTAGTGAGGTGCGGCCCGGTAGCGGAGTAGCTTTCGGTCTCATTCCGGCACGTCCACCCTTCTCGGCACGTTGCATTATGCTAGCAATGGCAAGATGCTGGAGAATGCATTTTCCGCCTTGTGTGAAAAAGCTATGCCATCAAAGACGGCCGACAGGACATAAAAACCTAGACAAAGCACTAGCATTGCATGTGCTGGAATGTTTGTTGAACATCATCCAGCCAGCAATCACTCTCTTGGTATGGCATGAGGTGCCGACGAGTTTTACTTGTGGTGACCCCGCAAGACCACGTGACGTCAACAATCGAACAATCCGCCAATTACCAGCATCAAACATCATGTAGCATGCTCTCACCTTGAGGCTGCTGGTTCTTCCTCTGCAATGCAAGAACCGAGTTAGTGAACATGGCAAGGAAAGATCGTTTTCACAAGAGCCATTGTTCATAGTTTAGCAGTGGGCGCGAAAACAAGGCAGTACACGCATAGACCTTGAATGAATATGAGCACATCGCAGGCCTGAAAGGATGTGTACGTGAAGAGAAGACAAACCTTGTAGGCTGGCAAGCGCTAGACAGTACACAAATGTTTATGACTCAGACAAGACACTCATTAGTTATCAGCCTCGCTTAGGATTGGAAAACGTCATCACGACCACCGTAAAACGTTATGTACACCTAAAGACTGCCATACTATGCCAATCCATACTCGGAGTCACCATCCAATGTCATTACACAGTCAAAAAGGAATGGCTGTAAAAATGGTTTATAAGTCTTGAGACAAGACATCATGTCTCAACGCGGATGAATTGCAAACCAGGATCTGGTCCTCTTTGCACAAGCGTCGTGAACCTATCAAAGGCTACGCCAAATTTTGCGGCGACATATGTCCTTTTTCGCGGTCCCACAAATGCCAATTGAGGTTGTTGTGACACCCGCTTTAGCGAGAGATAAGGGGAGAATGACACTTTTTACGTCGATATTTAGTCGCTGAAGTATGTCACCAGGCTATCCAATTTACAAGGCAGTGCAAGATGTCTCTAACTGATAGGAACAAGCTCCAACCTTTCATTCCACTTAGCATTTTGGGCGGATTTTTATCGGATTTCTCGAAACACTATCCCAACACATTTGCTGTTACAAAATATTTGTTGGGGTTTCATCCACATGCGACCAAAATAATTCTCGCCAAATTTGCGGGAAAATTGACTGTGCAATTAATAGCGTGGGAATACCTTATTTTGACGAAAATGGGTCATTCATCAACATCCAGTCCGGTATTATCCCTCAAGTTGAACCTTGGCACCACGACAAATTTCATCTTGTTAGCAGTGCAGACTATCAATGACAGCGAGCTTCTAAAATATGGTCAGGGTCTTCCAAACAACTGACCTGGCATTGGTTATCAACCCATGCACTACACTGGTAGTCATCTGACATAAGATGGTGCTGACCACAGCTTTGATCATTCACGTTTTAATCTGCATGTTATCTAAAGCAACTGTTTCATGCTTGAAGATATTGAAGGAAGCATCAGATATGAGAAAGATCACTTGGAACATTTGGTAATGCTTTTGAGTGTAAAAGGCTATGATAAATTGCACAGTTTCATTAGTCAGTCATCATGGTACTCGATACATCATTGCTTGATTCCACAATAAAACATTCTTATGACGTCAAAGTCGCTGACAGTGCAACTAACTTGTGATACTTCTATGTGTTGCAAGAGGGCACTGTTGATTTATGGATGTTAATTCAATGTGCAAGCATCATTTGTGTGTGTTTTCATACTTTCCTGTGTTGTACCCATATCTTTTTACATCATGGCACCTTCCAGACTTACATTTGCATTTTTGCTTGCCTCCCTATTTTTCAGCTTATCATTTATCAGCCTCATGTTCACCATATCTAGTAGCTGCCCAAAGGCCTGTTATTTATGGGAAAACTGGCTTCATGATTGAGACATGCAACCAGCAGCCCAATCTGGCTGTTAGCCAGGTGCCTTCTAGCATTGGAACATATGGTACTGCATCACTGCAAATTTGAGTGTTTAGTGGTCATATTTGCATCAACCATGGGCACAACACAGCCAATGAGGCGAGGTGATAGTGTGACATCTCTATGACAATCATATATGCCTGGGTGACTTTCCCATAAATAACATGAAACAGGTTGCACATATTCATGAGTATGAAGCTCAGAGAGGATAAGAAGTTTAAAAACGGCATAGTTGTAAACTGCAGAGAATGATCATGGAAATGGCTATCTCAGTTCATTACCAAGTACCAATGCAGACAGTCTCTTTCACTTGCTACAGCTTTAACATTTCACTTGCTTTGCTTGCTTTAAGGTTTCACCAAACACAAAATGTTGCAGATGTAGGGCTTTTTATTTCTGTCAGGGATATATGAGTGTTTTTGGAAGAAATACAGCTACTCCATCTGCCACACATTATTACAACACTGAAATCCCCAACTGTACCAGTATCACACTGTGGCTGGTATAAGATTAGCACAAATATTGACTCCAAATAAGTGCATAATTCACAACCTTTAACAACAAACAAATGAAGCCCAGGTCACACCCACAGAAACTGAGGAAACTCAGCACTGATGATCATGCCTGGACTTGGGGGCTCACACACACTTGTAGATTTTGTACATACTTCTCATTCAGCCTGGCTGGCTTCTCTGTTAGGCCATTGGGGCATCCCCTTACCAATGGCAGGGGGCATCATTCTATTTAACTTCAGGAGCATTCCCCCACATGGCCTCAGTGTTCATCTTCACTTGGAGCCAAAGTAACCACATGACTAAGGGCTTTTACCATAAGTAACCAAAAGACTAGTCTTTACCTGCACATAGTGCCCTCCCCATCTGAGCCCCAGGTGCACCTTCACCTGAAATCAAGGGATGCCCCTTCACCCAGCCTTGGGGGTCTTCTATTTAGGTCTGGGGCAGCCCTCTTCCTGGGTTTAGAAACAACTTTATTTCAGGTTGAGGGCACTGCTAGGCTCATATTTTGTGCTTTGTTCTGATTTGTGAAACACATGTGAAAGTTCTGTTTAGTTATTGACCTTTTATGTGCTAGGAGATACTGGTTGAATGATGTTACAGAGCTAAACAAAGAACATTTTGGTGGAACTATTTTGGTCTGTGCTTATCATTCAGGAGATGGGAACTTCAGGAACATGGAAACTTTGGACATGCAAACAGTTCTATAGCCAGATATTTACCTGTTCCATGCATGCATATCTTCCCAGGTCTGTGCGTACCCTATGAGCCCTATTCATATGTCTTGTGCTTTATAAGCCCTTCTTACATTCTTTAATGCAATAAATATTTTTAAAACAAGCTTCTTGCAGGTCCAATCAATACACACTTTCTGTAGGTCCAAATGCTTAACTCCTGGAAACTGATTAAATGTAACATTCTTACAGACTTCAAGTTAAATATATTATTCTGGCAATGTTTGATTATAGTAATAGGGGCAACTGAAGCTTTATGGTGCTTTCACTGTGCAGTCCTATTAAGGTTTGGTTACCAACTGGTGAAGATTTACAGTTCTTATCCTAATGAAAGCTGTGCAGAACTTCATATCCTAAATGCACTGATAACACAAACTGAACAGCTGAAATTGTGTTTTGAACTATACAACACACCTTTAAGTGGTCACGGATTGAAAGGCCATTTGGCCATCAGTTTTGCTTTTCTGTTCGAGGTAATGAACAATGTAATTTTAGGGATCTGATTGCTGAACATAGCAGAACACCAACTGCAACAAAAATGTTGCCAATGGAATGCATGATTTTCAAATAATTATCATCCATTGTTTGGCCCAAGCACATGTTGCAGTGTCCAATCCACACCACAAGGATTTACCTGACATATATTCTGATACAAGCTTGATGGCATGCAGGTTTCAGGTACTTTGTATGACATGCCCTTAAACCACATATGCATTGGGCATGCCATCTGACCTTTCCAATCTATTCCTTGCAGGAGCCAGCATACAAAACCCTTTCCACCCAACTTTTGATCTGTGTGCCTTGTTAACCAGCATGACACAATGATCTAGAAAGTGGGAACAATATTTCCAAACTTCCCAACAAGCATGCAAGAGACAGCTATGTAATACTGATATTGTAATGTGGTTTGAGGTATGTTAAATGCAACTGTTTTTATTTATACATGCCTATTCTTTATCATTGTAGAGATAGAACATAGTTTCCATGGATGATCTCACATGCATGGCTTGGTTTTGAGACAGCAAAATCTAAACCGACACAAAATGCATACAAGCATATTTAAAATGAATAAGTTGGTATACGCGTACGCACCTGGTCCTGTGCACCGGCTGACATCCCCTCCTCACGCAATAACTAAATTGAGGATTCGGTAACGTCAGTCTAACTAAATGCTTTCCAACACTGAGGATGATAGTTACCAAACCGAATGTATGCAATGTAACGGGGAGGGAGGCGCGAGAATAAAGCGGCGCAGTTCAGCGCTCACATCGGCAGCAACCCACGGACATTTACGTGTACGCTGTGGGAGATTTGGAGTGAAATATGATGCAGCCAAGTCTTATATATCTGCAGATTGTCCGTTGACCTTGTGACTCTTCTCATGAAGTCTTGAAATAGCATCTTGAGAGCTAGTGGTATTATGACAAAATTCTTCAGAAAATGTGCGATAAGACCAAGATATTCTGCCTTTAAGCCAGCATTTGGCAGCAAAATAAGGACAGCCGGAGCCCAAAATTGATGATTACGGGACAAAATAAATTGACAGCCAGAAAGACAACCTCCATCCCCAAACTACACCTTATGATCAACAACTGAATTAGCGAGCCGAAACGGCCGATTTAGCACTAGAAAGGCCGAAACACATCAATGGTGCCAGTTCAAATGTGGTATAGTAAGCCGACCAGACGTGACGTGAGAGCTAATTACATCCAGAATACGTGAGAGCTATTTATATCGCGCAGGTTGAAGCACATGAACAATCGCCGTACCTTACCTTACCTTACCTTAGTGATCGGGAACATAGAAGGCCACTTGGCCTGTCGATCCCGGTTTCGTTGAGCTACCGTTCAGATAACTGGACAGTCTCAAACAAGGGATGTGATCTGTGCGTGATGTCGTACATGTCAGTCCAGTGTAAATTGAGCCCAGATGTTAACTGCTCAATTGGTGTTGACGATACCATTTTAGGTGGCAGAGCATTTCCATCATTGACGACCCACGTCCTGAACGGGTTTCGACGGGCGAGAGCCTCGGTTTGAGGTTTGCTCAGCCTCCATTGGTGCCCTTTTGTGACCTCCGAGTTGGATCTTGCCGGGGCCTCCTCCACCGACAGCGTCATGCCTCCACGAAACATTTAATACGCGGCAAACACGTCTCCCCTGCGACGGAGGAAGCACAGCGAGGGCAACTGGAGGAGTCGGAGCTTCTCCAGATACGGCCGGTGCCTCACTCTGTGGGCACGACGCGTGACCAGTCGTTGTACCCGCCGGTAGCGCAGGCGGGAGGGGGGCACGTGCCCCCTGTGGGCTCAGGGGGCACGTGCCCCCCTTAGGCTCAGAGGCGGCCATTCGGGCAGCTCAGGACGTATGATTTTATTCGGGGCCGGACACTTAAACGCCACCCAGAGGGCGCCGATCGACTTCCGGAGTCGATAAAGGCCTATCTATATGTTGATCAGACACCGCTAAGAACGAACAGTCAGCCCCGTGTCGGCATGGGCCTGAGGGTCCACTCCCCAAGCAGGGACAAGGCAGGAGCCAGCGATTTACATTGGTCGGGGTCCCAGGGTCTACCAGGGCCCCACAGCACCTAACAGGGAACCATTATCCACGGTTAGCATACTGGCATTAGAAATGCCTGGGTGACCTTGAAATAGTCTCCCAGAAAAAGTCTGCACATCCTCGCGGGCGTGTAGCTCAAAAACCAGAGAGGATGGGTCTTAAGAAGGGCAGGGCTGTGACCGGTACCGAGAGGTCTTCAAGATAGCTTTTTAAGTTCAAAACTCCACACAAATCTGAAACACTCTCTCTCTCTCTAAGTTTGTGATCAACGGAGATTCCGAGGTCCTTTTCGGTGGCTGCGACCACGATTTCACCAAAATGAATGAAAACGTAAGAAAAGCACAACCTGTCGTCCTCCGTAGTTAGATTGGTATCAGCTCCTGGCGACCCAACCCACCCGTGACGGCATGGGGATCAAGTCACTATGCACGCGGTCGCAGGGATACGACCACAATCCTCTAACATTATATTCGGGTGGGGGCGGGGGGGGGAGGGGGGCAGCCCAGAGTAAATTCATCACGGTTCTTTTCTATTGTCAGGAGTCATCTTTGGTATGTAAAGAGAAATGCGGCGCTGAGGAATGGGGTAGGAGAGCGCCCCAGCATGCTCTCATGGCTGCGCCCATGTGTGCTCACTAATTGCCCCCTGACTTGGATAGTCTGCGGCGGGTGACAGCTGTTCAATGTCAGGGAGGTCAAAAGGGCAGGCGCCAGGCCGGCTATTTTCGGACACAGTCAGGGCTGGGCAGATTTTGGTGGCAGCACAGCCCGGCCTGAGCCATACTAGTACCCAATGTCTTGTATGAAACGGATTCAGCTGCGGTACTTCTCAGGCAAAACCGAGCTTATGCCCAGCCGGGCGTGAAGCACACTCTTTTCTGCGCGTACCGCTGCAGAGTGTCAGAGAGGTATGGCTAAGCTCGCGTCGGCCCCCCAGTCGTATTGAAATTCCGGCGCAAGGTTTGCCAGCAGCCGCACGACATTTCCATTCGGCGGGCAGTGGTGTGAGTTTTGGGGTGTCGTCGTGAGCGGCCTTTCTGTTGTGGGCTGTCAAACCAAACGAAGGCGTGTTGAGCCGCACAGACATCCAGGCAGGCTGACTGCACGCCCGTTAGGACACCCGTTGTCAGCATGCGGTAGGTCCAGGTATGTTCAGAACTCATTTTTGAACAGTGGGTCGAAAAACATTAGGCTTGCGTTATCAGTTTCATCAACAAGTTATAAAATAAAGAAAATGGAGATTGTCAACTTAATTATATTTTGTAGTTTTTGTAGTTTTCACCTAATTTTAGATCACACGCGCGACGTTTGATCAGACACGCCAGTTTTCTTGAAATCCTTCTGAGTAGCTCAGGATTGTGATTGGAAGTAGCCGCTACTGCGGCGAATTCTTATTGGGCTCCCTGATCACCACCATGAAAGCGATACCCTTTATTTGCGTTGCTTTTTCTAACCTGTGTGTTTTGTAATGTTTGTAACACACTATTTGTCAGAATGTTTGTGTAGGAATTGAAACGAAAGCTTGAAACATTCTGCTTAGACAAAAATATACGAGGGCATGAAGCTATTATCCCGCGAATTCAACGAAACGTTTTACTATAGCTTTGATTTCTCCACTACGGCGTGTATGAAAGTGGCTCTTATCGAAGCGCACTTCGGTTTGGGAAGTGGAACATCATGTGGTCTATAGTGACGCAATGGTCCAAACTTCAACCAATGTGATGCCGGTAACTGGCCTTTGCCGCCCGCTGTGCCAATCACAAACGTTTGTTTATACTGATACCAGTCAGTAACAGATGACAGAGGAGTGTGAGCCCCTTTGGACCTGGCCGGTACTTTACCTCTCGGAAAATACGCGTAGCTCGTCATTGAACCCACTCCAGCCACTTCTGATCCAGCATGCCGGACGGACCCCAGGTGATGATGCCATACATTCGAACAGTTTCGTCAAAGCCAGCATGCCGTGATCATGACAACAGTGGCAGCGTCAAAACGCTTATGTCTGGGAATGACAGTCTTACGACGGCCAGCATTTGGTTGGTCTAAAACCACATTCGCCGTTTGCATGTGGGACATGAGCTTGCATGAGCCTCCACGAAAATTTCAGGATACTTTTCAGCGGACACGACCTCGATTTCGGTGCCGTTAAGGAAGTAGATCAGTCGCGGGTTGCAAATGCTGACGTGCGTGTGGAATGGGAGCAATCGCACTCCTCCGTCCACTCGACCAGGCCATTGAGGTCAACCTAGAGAGGAAAAGCAGCCGGGGCCTCAGAACACGGCAGTACACCTTAGTTCATCCGTACACATCTTGACCGCGCTTTGCGCTTTCGGTAAACCGTCGACGAAATTGATGAACAGAGGCTGATTGCATATCAAAGCTCACGTGAGTTTTTTTTCGTGAGTTTAGGAATATGGGTAGAATTTTTACTCGCTGGCTTGCACCAGACAGCTGAAATAGAAATGCTTGCGTCGTTGAATTTACTCAAGCATCTTATCACAACCAAATAAATCTGAGTCGCAGCGCACGAGTAAAACCTGAAAAATTGGTCTGCCGTTGGTCATACGTGTTAGAAGTGCTTCGCAACTGCCACAAGTTTCACGAAAGTAAAGCAGCAATACACGGAGGACCGCGCCTCGTAACTTTGATGCTGCGACGCCAGTCTGGCGTGTCACGTGTTGTGTAATGGGGCTGAATGTCCTTCTAGTGTTCTCGTAAACATCATGGAAGATTTTGATAGCTTTAATGATGCGGTATTTAGCTGGTTGAAAGCCCAAACCTTGAGGGCGGTTGACTTGATGTGGCCGGTGGCCAGTCCAAGGGAAACACAGAGGATTCCGTGGTAGGACTAATGTAGAGTGGCCCATGCCACCTGCATTCCGGTAGGTTCACGTTCCGTTGCTAATAATAACAACATTAGGCACCTGAAATGACTTGAACAGCCTCGTAGTATTGCTATCAGTGATTTTGACTGCATAAGGGGAAGAACATAGAAGTGCTTAATTACCGATGGGGTGTTTTGCATTATACTTGCCTAGTTCCCAATAAATGCAGGAATTGTATGGATAGCTTTTTGTCCGTAAAAATGACAATATCGCCAAACGAAAAACTAGACAAATAACTTTGACAAAAAATTGTGTCTGACATTGCATTTTTTTCTAACAAGCCGAGACCGGCCGTCTGGCCGGACAGTGGGTGCTTCCAAAGCATTCACTACCAAACTTTGAAATATTCTTCCCATTCAAGTGACAGTACCTGCGCACCCGTTCAATGTCCTGGACCAGGCGGAAATTCATAATCTAGCGGATCTTATAGCGCTTCACCAACGAACGTTCCTCGTCAGGCATGGCCAGGAAAGCGCGGTGGCGAGCGGCCAGCGCCTGCCGATCCGGATCTTCTCGGTCCAGGCAGGAGTCTTGGCTGCTGATCTGTTGTGGCGCGGGGACTAGGCGTGTCGCGATGGCTGGGAGACGGTCGTGCGGGCGAAAAGCTTTTGTTCTTGGCGTCAAACACGTCAAGTTTTGTCTTTGCTATCTCCCAGTCTTAACAAAGGCGGATGTTTTTTTATAGATATTGTCATTCCCAATCATCCCGAGGACACAGGATGCCTGACCCGACGTATGAAGGCAGAGTGTTGACAGAGTATGTAGACATGACCATGGTTTATATAGATACCCATCGCCCTTGAATGCTCTTGCATTCTTCTCTTTTGTAACTGTGCACGACTC